TTTTTGTTTAATATTTCTTCCTCCTCGGGAGTCAGCTTGGCCCCCTTCTTGCGGCCCAGGGGCAGTGCATAGTGGGACTGCCAGTACGGTGTGCTGTCGATGAGCACAATGCAGTTCTTGACCAGGGTCTTGGTGCGGACCAACTCGTTATTGGATGCGTTGTAGACAACGTCAATGATCCTTGTTTTTCGAGTACAGCATTCAGAGCCCCAGGAAAAGTTTCCCACGTCCAACCTTAGGGCACTGTACTTCTTATTGCCTCCTCGAACTCGGACTGTGTGTATACGACGAGGACCAATCTTCGTGTTGGCAGCAGGCCGTCCCAGCTCATACTTCCGCTTCTTGTGGTAGGGCTTTCTCTTACCCCCGGTCTTGCGGCGCTTGTGCCAGTTGTCCCGAGAGATGCCCATCGCTCGGCGCTGGCTGGAAAGAGCTCCTAACACTTTCATACAGCTCCTCATGCTGAGGTGACCTCCTCAACCATAACATTATTGTCATTGCTACTTCATAACTGTAATTTTGCTGCTGTTATGAATTGTAAGTATCTGATAAACAGGATAGCTGATATTTGACCCTAAGGGAGTCATTCCCCACAGGTTGAGAAACACCTGGGGGGGCTGTAAGTTGAGGACTGCCATGGGGTCTGAAGTCATGGCAGGATTTGATGGTATGGGAGAGGCACCGATTGTGTGAGATACTGCTGTAAACAGAGGGAACATCTTGTCGTTCACTTCTTCCTACCCTTTAATCTTCAACAATATTCTCCTATTGCCTAAAGCTACCAGGAAGCCATGTGTAAGAGGACCTTGAGTGGAGTTCCAAGGGATACAAGCAGGGGAAGAGCAGGGATGGATGGAGTGAACCAACAGTAGACAGGAAGAACGGGGCATGCTAAAGATCTTGCTGTTATCTAGGTATTTGAATGTGTGCTGTGCTCTTCTTGAGCATGTGCCTGCGTGTGTGTGTGTGTGTGTGTGTGTGTGTGTGTGTGGGGGGGGGGGGGGGTAATGTTAAGGTGAAGAATGAGAACCAGCTGTGTAACATGCGCAGACAACTGGACTTCTTTGCACCTCTTTCTCTGTACATCAGGGTTAATAATGAGTACCTTAGTGATTTCTGAGGGCTGAAAGAGGTAAGCTATGTCTAGAACTTGGAGTGGTGCCTGGTACAAAGTAGCTAGAGCCCTGGGCCAGGTTCTTTAAATCTGTCTAGGCTGTTGTGTGTGTGGGTCTAGTCTGTTTTCTAACTGCCTCCAGGTTCCTGCCCTGTTTGAGTTCCTACCCATGATTCCCTTTGGTGATGGACTAGATGATGAAGCATAAGCCAAATAAACCCTTCCTCATTTTGCTTTTGGTCATGCTGTTTCATCACAGCAATGGTAACCCTAACTAGGACATCCACTGTCATGTGGATGACTGAGTAGCTGGCATGTTGAGTTTGGGCAATACTATGTTTAAAAACAGTGTGTGAGAGTTGACTGACATCCAGGGTGGTATCAGTATCTTCACTTTTACCATGACCCATGTGGTGTGTGTGTGTGTGTGTGTGTGTGTGTGTGTGTGTGTGTGTGTGTATGTGTGTGGTGTGTGTGTGCGCGCACGTGCGTGCATGCTCCAAGGCCAGGAAAGGGTGTCAGGTACCTACTCTAACTCTCTTATTTCTTTTGAGACCAGGTCTCTCACTGGACCTGGAGCTAGGCTGGTAGCCAGCAAGCCACAGAAATCCTTCTTCCTTGGGGTTAGGAGTGTGCACAGGACCATGTCCAGCTTGTTACCTGGGTACTGGGATTCAAACTCTGATCCTTGTGCTTGTGCAGTGTGAGCCATATCTCCATCCCCTGAATTTGACTTTAGCTCTTTGTAAATGAAGGCTGTCCAGCTCTACACAGACATTCCAGAGTCCAGAGTCCACATCTCATAGTAGGGCTGTTGATGAGCTCCTGGTCTCTTCACAGCCCTGTGAGCTAGATATTTTCACCAACATAGAAAATCAAGGTTTAGAAGAATTGAAAACACCCCAATGGCTGAGGCAAGAATTGAGTCCAGGCCTGAGCAGAGCCTTTCCACCACCCCTCACAAACAGTATGGAGTAGAATTTGCTTTTCACTGTGTCCAGGACTGTGGGTTACTGTGGATCTGAAATGTGAGTAAGGATATCCATTATAGATGGCCCTATAGCCACAGCAGGACCCCAGAGGGTCAGAGCCAGGAGTGTGTGTCAGGTGATTCCAGATCTGGACCAGGTGATGCCAGGCATCTTTGTTACAGGGCACTGTTGGCCAGTGGGAGTCCCCGAGGGCTGTGGTCCTGGTGGGAGAACGCAGCTCCTCGGTTCCACAGATTATCACCTACCCTGTTGTGTCACTGTAAATGGTTGCACTTTGTGATCAAAAGCTCAGCCAGTGTAGATTGGGCTCATTTGGACAATTGCTATGTATTTGCAAGGATGAATGTGGACCATTTGTCTATGCCTTGTTGTCTCAGCAGGTCTGGAGCCAATGCTAATGAGAACAGATTCATTTTCCTACAGCATCATTTCTAGCATGTTATACCTGGGCTAAAAAAAACCTCCGTGACAGCCATTACCTACAGGGACAAGGCTGAGTGCCATGCTGGAATGGCACCATGTCTCCAGAGCTGGATTCAGCCTGTCTTTCCAGCTTGATCTCCCTCTGATTCCCACAATGCTGTGTTCCATCTTGTGTGTGCAGATCCCAGTCCTCTACCCTAGACCTGCCTCCAAGTCTCTCAGCTCAGTACTTATGCCTGTATGATTGCCTCATCTTTCCCCATACACAGGTGAGGACAATGGCATACTCAGTTCAGGGAACCCTGTGTTGTTTTTTCTACTATCCCACTAAGGAAACAAACAGAACTAAGCCTTCTGTCGAACGCTTACATGTAAATTCATTTACTTGTTTAATATTTATTTGAGTGCCTACTATATATTG